AGGAGCTAGGAAAAAGTCGTATTAGGGAAAAGGGAAGGAAGGCGTGGGTTACTGCATGCAGTTTGACCATCGCAGCTGTGCGATCTCTATAGAGGGCTTATATGCTCACGAAAGTGGTTTGCATAATCTGATTGCGGAGGCTCCTGCTGTTGTTAGCAGACGCGATCTTATTAGATTTGGATGGTTCGGTTGGACGCTGTAAATCATTCGAAGGCTTCACAGGGGGTGTACGCGATACCCGGCATCAGGACTGGCGTTTTTTACGTTTTTTACTTTCATTCTTTCCCAATCAGGCGGGGAGTTGTTGTCGTTTTCTCCTTGATAGGCGCCGACTCCTGTGACCAGTATAGCGTGCTCCACAGAAGCAAGTAAAAGAGTAAATATAGATGGAGATGGTCTGAGCTGACAACCTATCCTTACCTTCTACGTGTAAAACGAAGTTGGCTGAGAATAATACTCGAACTAATGCCGATGAGAACCTTTGTGAAGTAGTTAGATTAAGGGGTCTTCCCAGGAGTCCACTTGCTCTGCCCTTTCTTCATCAGTACGATGGATTTTATTAGCCTATTTAATAACATTCTTTAAAATACGTCGTGAAGATACCTATCATCGCGAAACTAATTCTGAGTTGTCCCAAGCTCCTCCTTGGTGCTCTCTGTCGAATAAAAGTTTCTTGTCCTTTGTGCCAAATGCCGTATGCGACCGTAAATTTCATAATAGCTTTGCCGCTACTTTTTGAAAATATTTGTATTGAGATCTGTGCTTCTCTTCCTTAGAATACCGTGGTAACAACACAATAACAATTTCTTGGAAAAGTTTTCAAACATGCTGCCTTGAAAAAAGTAATGAAGCAGTTACTAGGCTCATTCTCAATGGCCTATCGCCCACGGACATCGCTGTCAAGTTAGAGATGGCCAGGTCAACTGTTTACACCATCATCGACCGTTATAAGAAGTTCATCAGCATCGAGAGAAAGCCTCGTCGTGGAAAGACAAGAAGAAATTCGAGCCCCGTGCCCTATTAGGCCTGTCCATGATCGTATTCGTTGCATTCCAGTCCGGTACACGAGGACAATGGTCTTATGGCTTGAGGCGTCGTGAAAATGGACCTGAAAACTAAGCCAAAGCCTAGGACCAAAAATCACCTCGTTGCTGAGGCTGTGAAAGAGAAGAGACTGGATTGAAGTAGGAGAATCTTAAGCTTCCTCAAGGAAGGACCACACGTGAGGATTTACTTCAACGAAAAACTCTTCACAGTCGATTCGGTGTCCATTAGTCGAACAGATCACTACCTAGGCCCTCAGAAGGTCAACAAGATACCGGAGAATGTTAAGTACAAGTCTCAGACCAAACACCCTGCGTATGTTATGGCCTTTGGCCTGATCGCCTCAGACGGCAGAGTCAAGCCCCTGCGTTCACCAAGGCCGGGGTCAAAGTGGGCACAGACGTGTATCAGGATGCTCTTCAGCAGAATGCCAAGCTTTGGATAGATTTCAATTACAGTTCAAACGACGATGTGGCCCTCCAGCATGATGCTGCGCGTCCACATACGTCATGGAAGACACAGAAGTGGCTGGAAGACTACATGCTTTATTTCTGGCCCAAGGATATCCGGCCACCATCCTCACCAGACTTAAATCCCCTCGACTGTAGTCATTGGGCTCTCATGATGAATAGTTCCTTTCTAATATGAACTTTGAGACTTTTACGTAAAATCTATTTGTTTCTCCAGTTACGCCTTCTTGATCTGGTTCGGATAACTCAAATTACGAAATTTAAGGTCACCTACAGTAACGAGCCGAATTGTGTTTCTGGCCAAGGGTTGTGCAGGGGTTGAGCCACGCATATTGTGCGAATCACATTTTCTTTCTACAAACACTTAGTTGAGGGCTACCGTCAGAAGTGCTGTTCAAAAGGAGAACCAGGAGGACGAAGTCGTCGCTTCCATCTCCAACGTGAAAATGATCGACGTATTCACCGTTTGCAGGAAAGACGTTTCTTTGTTTAAGGCAACTGAAATTGCGAGATATTATACACTAACGACCGTAATACTTCAGCCTATTGACATGGCCATTTAATTGAAACTTTGCCAGATTGCCCGTTAGTACATCGGTTAAAACAGATCACATGACGAGCTTCTAGCGACTGTGTCTGGAGAAATTCAAAGGGGCAAGTCTCCATCCAAATGAGGTCATGGTATCTTTTGATGTTACATGCCTTTTTACTTCTATTCCCAAGGACCTGGCGATCAAGACAATCGAGCTGCTTTTACAAAGCCAATACGATGAAACGGAGCATCGTCCTGGACGCGCCCAAGTCCTTCAGCTCCTGAAGTTCTGTCTTAGGACGTACTTCATGTTCGGCGGGAAAATATACGAAGAGGTACAGGACACACCAATGGTTTCGCCGATTTCAGGATTCATCGCCGAGGCGGTCCTGCAACGCTTAGAGTCGCTGGTCTTCCAACACCACAAACCGAATTTCTGGTCCCGGCATGTGGATGATACCTTCGTCGTTATCGACCGGGACCAACTGCTGACATTTAAGGAACTTCTGAATGCGGTCTTCCCGGACATACAATTTACAATGGGGGAGGAAGAGAACAACCAGCTGGCCTTCCTGGATGTCCTCGTATGCCGCAAAGATTGTTGTAGACTAAAGACCAAAGTGTTCAGGAAAGCGACAAATACTGTGTCTGTTTTGTTAGTGTTTTTTTGTTGTCAAAAAGGAGCCGTAGGTCCAATGTACACCACTGCAATAGTTTATTGTGTGCGTCCGTAGATGTCCAAATTTTCTGCTGGTTGACCAATAGGATTTAGCAGTCGGACAGCTGCGTCTCGAGTTCGTCAGCGCAATTATTTCATTGTCAGCCGTCTGGTCTAGCAGTATAGACTGCAGCTTCAATACATGGTCCGATCTAACCGTGCATGTTGCGCTTTCCGGGTTGGCTACGAATATATCTTTGTTTTCGCGAGACACTTGTAGTTTCTCCATGTCTGCGTTTGTGTGCAATCATCAATGTTGCGGCTTATTTTTTTGAATTTACCAGGCGTGATTTAAGGAGTTGGAGACTGTTTGCGGAAGCGTACTTTAGGTTGGACTGCACAGGAAGATCGCGCAATCACTGGAATGGTGGGCGAATTAGCCTGAGCTTTCGGACTCGTAAAGGACCCCAACATCAGGCACTATGAGAGTGCAGCAATGTGGGAAGAGTTTTTGTATTAAAACAATAAAGGAGGGAAAGGGGGAGAGGTGGTGGTGTCTGCGACTGCATTGGATCTCACGGTGGGGAGAAGGCGTTCGTCCCCGTCTGAGAACTGGGCCTCATCACTCGGTCGCGTGAACGCAGCACGTAATAGCAGTGTCGTACTAACGTGCTTGTCAAATTGAGTTTCTAAATCTAACTGATAAACTCTTCGGCAACTGTAATGGAACCAATTAGTTGATGAAAAAAGCTTACATCTGTGGAAGGTGTGGAGACGTTACAGTAGCTAAGGACACATTCTTGAATTTGGAAGATAAACGATGATTTGCTTGCGATAGCGTCCAGTGTTAGACTCAACCAACTGGACTAATTTTCCTGCTATTCAGAAGAATACCTTCGTCGTCGTTCTCCATACACCTACCAAGTCGTTAAAACTCAGGTCAACCTGTTGAGAAGCTCTGATCTAGCGAAATTTTAAACAAAACGCCCCCTGTTCATTGGGTGTGCCGTATTCCCCAGACTTCCTGGAATCAATCGGCAGTAGTTGAAAACGGCACTCCGACAACGCAAAATCTAAACACCAAAAAGGCACATTTCTATGAGATTTAGCTACGTCGTTTCGCTTGTTGTGGTTCTTTAGATAACCCGATTTATCTTTTCTGCGGAAATGTCCCTATGACATGGGAACAAAAGCTCCGCCCCCGAAATACCGGTGACGTTGTACTGCATTCCAGGAAAAATATCTAGTCCCCTACCAAAACCCTAACTCTGACACTAACCATAGCCAAGGCCTCAACCCTTAACTTCAATCTATCTGGAATGTAGAGTAAGATAAATTGTACTAAGAGGAAAAATCCTTTTCCGTGTTCTATTGAACTTCCGGCATTGGAATGAAATTCCAGTCCGTGACTGGGGATGATAAATTGTTGACCACTCAGGTACAGAAGGAGGCCACTGTATAGAGAAGGACCCCACTTAACTGTCAGTGGACTTTGGATTGTGTCATATGGGGTTGTATCTTGGCATACATCTGCAGGCAGTTGCAGAAATTACACTGCCAACAACGATTACTTCCCAAAACCTCACACCTTAACTCAAAATCCGTTATTTTGTAAAATTTACTTTTTTATAAATTAATTTCTACTCTCGTTTTCGTTGTCATACAATGACGTAGGAAAATACCTTCGACAAAAGTCCACACAATTTTTGTGTCTTCTTTCATTTTCTCAGTTTACTGTCCAGCGTGCTGCCCCACCCATAAAACTCCCTTCATCATAAATCACGTATGGCACGATCCGCAGTCTACCGACAGTTAAGTGATGTCCTTCTCTATACAGTTGCCCAGAAGGACCCTGCAGTTGGAGCAGGTTCAGGATCTTGTTATGTGCGTACAGGGTGCGGCAGGGCTACAAAAAAACGCTGAGTTCTGCCAAAGGCGCCAGCGACTGATTTAGGGCAGTTCGCGCGTCGCGAGCGCCGACGTCAACCGTGTCCCACGGCGAGTGCGCAGCATCGCTGACTTCCACGTGGATTACTTTACAGAGGAAGCCTTGCGCAGTGTCTTCTACATCCTTTCTTCCCCCACCCAGCCCACTCAAGTGGCAAGGCAGTGCCATGACGATCAGGGTTAAGCTCGATCGCGGTGGCTGACAAATTTAACTAGTCTGTCCAGGTTCGTCACCCACACACACATGATAGGTCGACCGCCGTTGTTCACGATGTCCAGCGTATAATCCACAGTAAGGTGAAGCAGACACGTTGACATACTTATGCAGCCCCATGTGGTTGACAGAATGCTATTGCGGTTGGGGTGAGGGGTTAGTATGGTCTGTGCCTACGCGGGCGTTCAAATCACCAAGGACAATCAACTTGTCCGCCTTCGACACAGTCGCCAAGAGGGCGTGCAGGTCCTCGTAGAATTTGTCTCTTGCGACGGCGGCGGCGTCCGGGTTGGTCATCGTCGGAGCATAGGCGCTGATGATGGTGGCGAATTTGCCCCCACCGCGGAGAGGCAGACGGAGGCTCATCAGGCGATCGTTTATGCCCTGCGGCAGACTGGGCAGTCGTCCTACGATGTCGTTCCGGATGGCGAAGGCGACGCCCGCGTCCCGTCGCTCTGCCCTGGGTCGACCACTCCAGAAGAGAACACACACACACATGATAGTTCGACCGTCGTTGTCCACGATGCCCAGCGTATACTCCACAGTAAGATGAAGCAGACACGCTGACTTTCTTATGTAGCCCCATCTGACTGACAGAATACTGTTGCGGTTGGGGTGAGGGGTTAGCGTCAGGGGCTAGGATTAGGGGTCAGGGCAACTATTTTCCAAGCACTCAAAGTACAACCGCGCATTCCCGATAGCTTTCGTTTTGCATACAACCACTTGACCTCGTCGTCTGTGCGCTCCCCGGCCCAACCTGTGAAAACCCCTATTACCGCCGATCCCGTATTACAGGTGGTTGGGGTGTGTTTACTTCAAGTGGGGTTACATAACCACATCTGACCCAGAGTCAAGAAGACAGGAGGCTGTGGAGGGTGCAGGTGGATGGCACGGTCGAGTCCGCAACTAGGTGTGCCACTAAACCCCTCAGGTCCACAAAATACACTTAACCAGGTTTTTCACCAGCAACAAAAACACCCCACCAGGGGTCAGAAGGACGAGAATGATGACTGCGCAGTCATGCCCACCATCTGTATACCCAGCGGGATCGCAAGCGCATCTGCCGGCAGCGAACCAGGTGCCAGGGAACTGCTGGCGCATATCAGTCTACGAGTGCCATGGTTTGCTGATACTGGCATAGCACACGCTTTAAGACCTTTTGACCTCACATACACAGCAGTTCGATCGTCGTATCCGATCATGTTCACCGTATGACCCACAGCAGGGTGGGAGCAGGGACGGTGACTTGCACGGGTGTTTATAGTGCCGATAGACTTGCGCTGCATCTACCACATTTGTTCCTCCTCCTCACCTGAGCCCGGTGTCAAGAAAGGGTCAAGAAGACCGGAGACGACCGATGGCTTGGACGGATCCGCACCATGGCGCTCCACTCCGCACCTCCAGGTCCACACAACAAATGACCAGGATTTTGACCGACAAGACAATGGGGGATGGCAGTGGTTCCAGTTTGTGCGACGACTGCCGACAACAGGGTCTGCAAGCGCATCCCCTAGATGTTGGCATTTGTTATTGCGCCTGGATAACGCCTGCCAGGATCGGGTGTGGCCCCCCCGTGCTGGTCTATCGTGTCATACGGGAACGGTGGTAGTAGGGGGAGAGGGTTAACGAATGGGGTAGCACGCTGGACAGTAAGCTGATGAAATGCAGGAAAACACAGAAGACGGTCGGTGCCAAAAACGACGCCCTCAAATAAAATGACGAATGTATGGAGAAACGGCGTCCAGCTTGATATTCCATGGCCTTTCATCTCGAACGACTGCCCGACCATAGAACACCTGAACCCATCCTCTGGCAGCCATTTCTGTCATCCCTCAATTCATGCTTAGTTAATAGCTCCGTTATTTGTTTCTCTGCTCATGGGTACCGCTGTCACTCACTGGCATCTGACTAGATTTCGCACACGATCCACAGTCCGCCGACAGCCATTTGGGGTTCTTCACCCTGCCGTTGTCCATCGAATCTTCTACTTATTGATTTTATCTAACTGAGATGGTTTTCGCACATGGTAAGCGCATTTTGGTAAATTGGAATGTGCCTTGTAATCCCTGTAAAGACTTCACTCAGGCTAAGTTACTCTCAGATGGTTTATCGCGAAAGATGTGGTATTAATTAATTCTCACGGACGACAAGCCTGGATGGGTTAGCTCGGTGAGAAGATTCCACGTCTCCGTTCAGCTTCAGAAAACGTCTTCTGTTCCCTAACATTTACTCCATACCATCGTCTCTCTCTCTCTCTCAGTAAAATGCTGTCAATGCTAGAAACCATTAGTTACACTAGGTTAGTGTCGTTTTATCCTCTTTCCCGAGTTCTGTGCCCAAAGTGCTCTTGGTAAAATCTCACAGCAGTTATCTTTAACCCTTTTTGTCACGCGAATCGATTTCTCAGAGATAAGCAGCAGTCCGAGCCGTGAAGAAATAGCGCGCGTGCTCCATTCCGATCACTCCCAGGTCCCCAAACTCATGACAACGAGTCCTTGCTAACTCGACTCCGACGGTCGCAAACTATCTGCAGTCTTATGTAAACGCATTTAGTGCCAAAAATAATCTCAGTATATCCTTGAAAGCGTCAACTGTTTTTTCGTTCAGTTTCATTTTTCAAAGGCTATTGCTCAGTTCACGGGGCAATAAGGTCCTTTTTTTCAATCCGGTACCTAAGACAATTTACCTTCCAGACTTTAATGAAGTGCACCAATGATCCTGGAGGCCCTGACGGACGCGGAACGTGGTGTGTGTACGTGCGTTGTGACCCTGAAACGGGCCACGCGACAGAGTCACTGGACCAATACATGGGCTCAATCGGAGTCCGGCAGGCGGTTGTGATGAGGTACCGGACTAATTTATCTTTGACAATTTAGTTCCATTTTCTTTGACTGGATTGCTTGTTTGAATGTGACGAGAAACGACACACCTGTACAACCCGCCTTGCTGGCCTGCGTAGCTGTCGCGCTCTGTTTTCAGGTTACTTAACATTCAGCATCTCTATATTATTCACTGCTCAGTTTTACTTGCTGCCTTTAAGACTAGGGGGTAGTGAGGTATAACTCGTTAATTAGTGAGAACATTACCATTCTCGTCAGAGTAACGGTAATGCGCATCCGCGACAAATGCCAACGTCTGGGAATTCGTAGCAGGACCAGGTGCAGGATCGTGTTGCTCCCACTGGGATCCAGGCGGCCCCTCCTAATTTTTTCGTAATGTATAAAATCCTGGTCAGTGTATGTTGTAGACCACAGGGCATGGAAGTACACCATGCCAGTCACCTGCATCCTATCCTGCCTTCACACTTCTTTGCTCTGCAGCGACACCGGGCTTCGGTGGGGGAGGAGAGAGTGTGTTAGATGCAGTGCAACTGTATCAGCATTGTAAAATAACTCATGCTCAAGTAACCGTCTCTGCTCTCAATTTGCTGTAGAGCACACGGTGGTCAACTTCGGCAAAGGCGGTCGAACTGTCGTATGTTTATGTGTATTTATGGTCCTAAACTGGCCTGGCTGTAGACGCGCTGGGCCAATGCGGCGACCGCATTGGGCTCTGGCAGGTGTTATCGTGGATGAACACTGATAGCAAATGCCAAAATGCTCGATGTGGTGGCGAGCCCAGTTTAGAGCTCACAGTGCACGCTGGGATTCTGGCCATCCCACGGGGTGTGCTGGTACGCCTAAGGGCGGGTCAGGCCGTGCCAGCCACCTGCGCCCTCTCCAGCTCCGGTCTTCTTGACACGGGGTTCTGGACGTTGGGGGAGGAGAGGGTGTGCTAAATGCTGCGCAAGTCATCCCATCCCATAAAACAATTCACGCGCAAGTCACCGTCACTATCTCACTTTGCTGTGGGACACACGGTGGACGTAGTCGGCAACGACGGTCGAACTGTCGTGTGCGCATGTGTATGTGCCGCAGGGAATCAACGATCGCCTGATAAGCCTCCGCCTTTCTCTCCAGAGGGACAAATTCGCTGCCATCGTCAGTGTGTGCGCTCTCCCGATGACCAGCTGTGACGCTTCAAGGGACAAATTCTACGAGGAGCTGCGCGCCCACCTGGCGTCTGTGCCAAAGGGGGACAAGTGGATTGTTCTGGGTGACTTCAACACCCGCCTCGGCACAGACCATGCTGCCTGGAGAGGAGTGCCGGATACCCTTGCTCTCGGCGTTCAAAATGACAATGGCCTGTCCCTCATACGAACCCACACAGAACACCGCCTCACCCCGACCAACACGTTTTTCCGCCTTCCGGTGAAGGGCAAAGCGACCTGAATGCACCCTCGGGCCAGTGGAGCCTGAATCTCAGTCCGCAAATCCGCCACTCCGTCCATTCCGATGATGTCCACCATGTGCTACACAGGTAGGTGCAGCAGGCACGGCGGTGATAGTGGACTTGCGCAGCATCTACTGCACTCTCTCCTCCTCCCCCCTCCGCCTGGACTCGGTGTCAAGACAGGGTCAAGATGACCGGAGACGGGGGAGGGTGCAGGTGGCTGGCACGGCCGCAGCCGCACCTCGGCGTGTCAACACAACCCCTGATCCACAAAATACACATGACCAGGGTTTTTCACCAACAACAGCATCGACACCCCACCAGGGGCCATAACGACGGGGATGACTGTGCAGCCATGCCCACTACCTGTGTACCTGGGGGGAGCACAGGCGCATGTACCGGTGGGGAACCAGCTGTCAGGGAACTGTCAGAGCACACTAGGTTGCGAGAGCCATGGTTTGCTGATTCTGGCATAGCATACGCTTCCAGACCACACACAAACAGGAAGGCTCGATTGTAGATTCCGACGATGCCCAGCGTGCGCTACTCGGCAAGGTGTGACAGGGACGGTGGCTTGCACGTGAATTAGTTTATGGTGATAGCAGACTTGCGCGACATCTGCCGCACTCCCACCTCCTCCCTCCCACCTGGGCCCGGTGTCAAGGCGGAGTAAGGATGACCGGAGGCGGGGGAGGGCGCGTGCTTTACACACGCAATGGGCCGACTACGAGTTCCGATTTATTTTGTAATTTGACAACATTCAAAGCCAAGGCTTCAAGCACCTCGTGCTAGCTTCCCGTTTCCAGGCCGCAGCCCCTGTCCAAGCAGGCCAGTTGTCTGGTGTTAGGAATGGGGGCAGATTATACGATAATTATTAACGAGTATTCAACAATTATTTAACATGTACAATTATTCATAAGGCACTGCACAACTAGCAATTACTTTCTATCTTTTTTAGACGCGGATAGAAAGTTCAGCCAGAATGACTGTGCAGCCATGCCCACTACCTGTGTACCTAGGCGCATGTACCGGTGGGGAACCAGCTGTCAGGGAACTGTCAGAGCACACTAGGTTGCGAGAGCCATAGTTTGCTGATACTGGCATAGCATACGCTTCCAGACCACACACAAACACGAAAGCTCGACTGTAGATTCCGACGATGCCCACCGTGTGCTACACGGCGAGATATAGCAGGCACGGTGGCTTGTGCTTTCATTATGATAGCAGACTTGCGCAACATCTACCGCACTCCCTCCTCCTCCTCCTCCCCTTCCTCCTCCCCCAACTGGACCCATTTTCAAGGCAGGGTTAGGAAGACCGTCGCATCCGACGATGTCCACCGTATGCCCTACAGCAGTGGTGGGAGAGAAGGGATGGTGACTTGCGCAGGGGTTTATAGTGCCAGTAGACTTTCGCTGCATCTACCACATTCTCTCCTCCTCCCCCGCCTGAGCTCGGTGTCAAGACAGAGCCAAGAAGACCGGAGACGAAGGAGGCTGCAGGTGGATGGCTCGGACGGATCCTCACCTTGGCGCTCCACTCCGCACTCCCCCTGGTCCACACAACAAATGACCAGGATTTGGACCGCCAAAACAATGGGCTGGTATCAGTGGTCCCAGTTGTGCGACGACTGCCGACAACAGGGTGCGCCAGCGCACATCCTACAGGTTGGCATTTGCTATTGGACAAGATAACTCCTGCCAGAATCCGATGTGGCCCCCGTGTTGGTCCAGCGCATCAAACACGCGGCCCGTTTGGGGGCACACACAGGGCCGACAACGAGTTCCGATTTATTTTGTAATTTGACAACATCTAAAGCCACGGCTTCTAGCAAACCACGAAAGCTTCCCCATTCCAGGCCGCAGCCCCTGCCCAAGCCGGTCAGTTGTATGATGGTAGGAAGGGGGCAGATTATACAATAATTAATAACGACTACACAAATTACTTAGCATGTAAAATTGTTCATAAGACACTGCGAAAATAACAATTACTTACTATCCTTTTAGACGCGGATCGAAAGTTCGGTCAGTATTTTTGAACGATTTTATGTGATGATGCGTGTGATTGCATCAAAAGTCGATGTACCTTCTGCCTATAACATGCGCCGCTTTGCGGCTGCTGGTTGGGCTAGAGAGAGGGCCCATAGGGCACAACGGAACGAGTGAGTTCCGTAAGAACGATCGGTGAGCGCACCCTACCACGGTATATTCCCGATCGAAAACCGACAGAGCAACGGGATCGTGGCCCAGTGGTTAGAGGCGTTGGACTTCTAACTAACAGGTCGCGAGTTCGAGCCTCGAGTGTGTCACACTTCGGGGTGGGCATGACTGGCTGACGACGGCTAATAAGCCAGAAATGGCCATTCCAGTCTCCCTTGTCTTTGTCAGTAATAATCTTCTGAAGAAATAAGCGTCTAATGCTCTAGTAAAACCGCTCTAAAAAGAATCCTGATCGAGTCTGACAGTCCCAAACACCCTATGACCACGTTTGTCGGAACATCCGTGGCTAACTCGTAGAACGCTGCTTTTTAAAACCTCTTGTAACAGAAACCAAAATTGGAAAGCTGAAGAGCCTACTTCGGAGCTGAACTCCTCGCAGTTAAAAAAAACTGGCACAAGAAGTGACTGTATCGGCGTTATGCGTGCATTTAAGCAAGTGAGGACAAAGCATTTGACGACTTTTATACTCGGGAAACGAGGTGGCGAGCATACATAACTTTCGATAAATTCTCGTCGGGCCAGTACATTTATATGATAAGGGGGTAGAAGTAAAAACACGTCAGTGATAAGATAAATCGATTAAAGTTCGCCTTCAAACACAGACTGGGTGTGCGAATGTGGGGGAGGGGGGGGGGAGTAATAGCAGTCACTGCAGGGGCCGGGGTGAGAGCGGAAGGGCGCGTGAGAGTTGTGGCTTTAGTCGACCTTCGACCACTGTAGGCGCGGAGCCTGAACGTGGTTCTTCTGTGCGCACAAGATTGGTTTTCGCAACCTGATAGCGGCCGCCTCTGCTGTTGCTAACAGGCTCTGTCCCAGTGATTTAGGATCGCTCGATGGGACCTTATAGATCACAGGAAACTCTTCCTTGAGGCCTACATGATGTCCGGAATCAAAGACATGCGCGAGAATGGCGCTGCTTATGCTCCTAATTTCGCCTTTTACCAGCCATGTAGGGAGGTGTTCCTGTATTCTCTTGGATAAGCGCCGACTCGTTCGACCAATATAACCTGCTCCACAGGAGCAAATGAAGGAATAGATGCAGATTGAAGTGGTCTGGGGTGACAACTTATCCTTACCTTCTCCGCGTAAAATAGGGTTAGTAGAGAAGGATACTTGAATCCTTGCCGCTAGGAAGGTTCGCGAAACAGCTTGATCAAGGCATCTCTTTAGGAGTTCACTTGCAGCGTCCCCTTGAAAAGGGACTAAAAAGAACAGAGTTTTCTTTTCGGCCGTCGATGTGGCGGTTTTTACAGGTCGTTCGGCCATATTCTTTGCACTAAACCTATTCGGGTACCCGTTTTCACGCAGGAAGTCCTTGATTTTTCTAAGTTCCTTCTATATGCTATCTGTTGAGCGAATTTTTCTAGCTCATTGTGCCAAACATCGGACTAGATTTCGTTTTTGTTGTGGGGGTATGAAACTAGCGAAGTTTGTGTATTTTCCAGACCAGGTTTTCTTCCGGTGGACGCTTCTTTGGACACTCCCGTCTGGTCCCCTCCTTAGAAGAACATATAAGAAAGGAAGCGAACTGATTGTTTTGATCTCCAACGTATATTTGATAGAGGGGTGTGCTTGATTTGCAGTTTTTAAGAGGGCATCTAATTCGTTTCTACCGTGGCGGCCGTAATGTTTAAGTTTTTTGAACTGATCGCTTAGTTGGAACCTCTCAAATCTGCCCATGAAGACATCGGCTAGGAGAGGCCCAAGAGACGAGGCCATAGCAACGCCGTCTATTTGTCTATAGAGTTGGTTGTCAAACAGGAACTGGACGTTTAGTGTGCATCTTAGTAATAGTTCCTTGAGTGTCTTCGTCGGAATTCCAATTTCATGCTGATTGTTTGATAGAAATTCACAGATGTATTCAACTGCCTCGGTAACGGGAGCTTTTGTAAAAAGTGATGAGACGTCCGGCGAGAACATCATCATGCCGTTGAGGTTAAGGTCTTTAACGTCTTTAATGAATCCAAAGGTATCTCGCTAGTTGCGTGGTGATAGCTGACGCTGTAGGGGCTTGAATTTCTTTTCTTGCCACTTTACTATGGCATGATACGGAGAGTTTCGCATGTCTAAACTCGGACAGACTGGCAGGCCTTCCTTATGGATCTTAGGTAGATCAAACCAAACCGACTTTCAAGCGAAAATTGTTCCATCTGTTCAAATCACTGTCTTCCAACCAAACAGTCAAACTTACGTCCAGCGAGCTTTCAACTGCTTTTTGACACCGATACTAGATAAATTGTGCATCATGGGAAGGACCTTTAAAAACGTGTCCACTCTTTAGTTGGTTCTTAAGCAAACACATATCAAGAAGTTGGTATCTACAGAACGTATCTCAAAATAAATTCAGTCGTTTTACCTTAAAACAAGTAAGCGGTCTTGCATATTCTTACGGTTGCCGAGCTACTCAGTTTGTAGGTTCGATAAGACAGCTTCCAAATTTGTCAGTTAGGAATGGATATTTGAATGCGGGTAAAATATTCGAAAAAAGTCTAGAGTACAGATAAGATAAAAGCAAACTAATGATCATTCCAAACTGCACATTGGTGGTAGGTCATGCTTTTAGGTAGAAAAATTCCTTCTCACTGAGAAAAAGGACCACGCGTCTCCGTTTACTAAAGTCTCTGTATTGCTCTACTGACACGTGACTAACACCAAGGTCATCCGCCACGCCATCAAGGAGCGAGTGTGGTCGTTGTCATAGTGACGACTGTCAACTTGCCTTGGCCACCCGCTCTCCGTCCGACGTCGGCTGGCTGATTTGAAAAGCAGTGTGGTGCTGAGGGCGTAGACAATGATTGCTTTGCTCCTGAGGTCATATCTTCTCATCTGGATGCGCGAAAGCGCCTGACTGTCTTCTTCAGGACAAAGTGGTCTTGACTAAATGAAATCACAAACTGATCCCCCAGAAATGCGTCAGAGGCTTCGTGCGAGCCAGTTTTTGTTTCCAAGTCACAAAGAGGAAGGTTCAGCGCGTTTATTGATCTGGCTGATAATTCAAACTACTCATATGAGCGAACACTACGTCAAATGCCGTTTGCTTTTTTCAATGTACAGTGCGTGACCTATCTCATGAAATGTTGGCTGAAATTTTGAAATGCGTTTTCGATTAGGAAGGATTACTTGGTCGCGGTTGTGATACTGATTATCTTAAGGCACACTCTTATAACGTTTCGGACTCAGCAGGATGTCTGCTTTAAAATGCACTTCTTTTCAATCTCCTGTAGAAAGCGTGCTCGGTAAAAAATGACTGCTTATGTAGCATGCATTTTTCCCATTGATTTTCGATAGTCCTGGAAATTGAAATATATTTTATAGAAACCATAAACAAAAATGTGCTATCTTTTAGTCAATCAATAGAGAATAACGTCTTCTTTATATATTATACTTCAGAAAGGAGTATAATTGGGTTTTAAAAAGTTTTCTAATTGCTGAAAAATTTGGAGCCTGATCATTCGTTGCACTGGCGCTTAGTGATTAAACTCTACAAGGTGCATGCTTTCCGCGTAAAGAAAATCCCATATTTTTCCATGCCATTAAAGAGAATTTCAGCCAACATTTCATGAGATAGGTCACGCACTGTACGTCAAATGTCGTTTGCTTTTTTCAATGTACTTTTGGTGAAAACCAAGTCGCAGCAAACAAATAGTGGGCGAAATCAACAGTACACTTAGAGTCTAAATGAGCCCTCCTCCTCCTCCTCCCAAAGGGCGAACTGCGATTGTCGCCTCAATACCTTGGATTTTGGATCTGATTTGCATCAATCCCTAATGACGTAAACAAAGGCATCACATCTTAGGGAATGTTTTTGCTGTGGGACGACCACAACAGGCTCTTTCTCGTTTCCCGGCTTCGCTTAAAATCTTTTCATCGCGGACTACAAGGTGGACTGGTCTGGTTTTCAAAGAGCCAGTCAGTCATAGGAAATACCGAATAATGTGCGATTTTGTCAAAATCACCTCTTGTTTTTTTGACTAGAATTTGCAGGCTTTTTGTCAAAATTTCAACTTTTTTATCTGAAAAAATTTAAACGACCATTCCACTGAAGGTGATGTTATTCGACCAACAGCCAAGCACGAATTTTTGATGATTATTTGAAAGATTTCTTGAGGATACTCCCGAAGACAGTGTCTGCCTCGAGGCAGAAGCCACATTTTCGACTTTCCACGTCTCTGATGGATTCTCATGCTCTGAGCAATAACAGACGCAAGCGCTATTTAAGCGAAGTATCCGCAAATGTTCTCATTTTTACCCCCAGACTGACTCCATTTGGGTCCCAACGACATTTCTGCTGGGATTAAGCAAAAGTAAAATGATCTTTCTTCTGTTTGTAATTCATTCACACCGTGAAGCAGTAATAAGCTTGCTGGTTGTGTAGCGGAATTTATCCTCGGCAAAAGCACGCATTGTATTCATGATAAAAGTAATCTTTTAATTTACATGCAAGGGAGTTGGATTGACAAAGTGCGACACACAGCAGCGTTTCCGTTTCGCATTTTTTATGTTGCCGCATGAAATTTAATGCACCAATTCAGCAAATGATCGTGACTCTACGAATTATGACATTGAGGTATTGGAGAAGAACGAGAAGGAGGGGCGCGTGTTTTATCGATTAAAGACGAGCTGAGGAAAACCGTACTATTTACTTGCAGAATTCTTATAAACGGACACGGGTTTTTAGGTTGGAAAAATCCGTGTACGGTGTTTGGACATTTTAAAACTCACGTTCTAGCAATTGTTACTGGAAACTGGACAAAAGATCTTCAATCTTCTTCGCGTATAAATAAGGAAGTTTGAGTTTAAAGAACGATGACCTTAACAAACATAAATGAACCAAAAAGGACATAATCATGGCTGAATACAGGGCTTTAAAAGCCAGCAGTAGTTCAAATAAAAAGGCAAAATACAGGTGTAGTTAGGTACAGGCAATCACAAAAAGAGCGTTTTCTACTGAAACGACGTTTGGAAAATATCCTGCTCTGGGTGAAGTAGCTTTGTCACACCCTTTTTAAGCAAAAAATATTTTTGCACATGTATAAGGCGGTCAAAATTGTCTTAATGAAGGCATCTTTTCACGGCTAGTTGCCTAAGTCAGCAAATATTTGCGAAATAGCTCATAAGTTTACAAACACTCGGGAACTGGTCTAAATACATGGGCACGGATGTCCAATCAAGAGTCAACGACTATCTGTGAAGTGAAAACACGTGAACATCATCAATTATGATGTGCTATCGGTTGAAGTAACAAAGGCTTAAGGGGCATGGAGTTGGTTTGGACGCAAACATTCGTGCCACATTGGGAAACGGTATTTTTGGAAATGCACAATTTATGTCAACTCAGACAGCTTAATAAATTATACAGCGCAGACTTGGCAACAGCTAAGGGATTTTTGAATATCTCCCGAGAATTGCCAATGCATGGAGTATGTCAAGAAAAATTTAATTTCGAAATTTGGCTAAACGTCTATTTTTTATCATTTTTCGAAAAGTTTAATTCGGTTGAGAATGATTTTCTGCGTATGGTCTTTAGATGTCAGCCATTTTTCCTGAGTCCCTTGTAGAGGGGACGGTCAGTTACTAAGGAGTCGAAACATCCTCGGCAAGTGCACTTATGAGCATACCACCTTCCGTGCGTTAGGAGAATTCCCAAGCCGTTAAATCACTATGTACTTTCTGAGAACGGGAGGATTTATCGCTTCAAGGCATCTCTGAAATCTCAGTGAATACCCGGTGGCTTTTTGATATCACTGCTCGGCCACTGGAAAATATGGCGGACCTTAATTGATAGGTTTTACTTTTAAACGGTGCTTTGATGTGGCATACAATAAAAGAATGTTCACGTCTATCATTTTTCTCTCGCAGTAATGTCAGAGCTTAATTGAAAATTGTTGCTCCTCCATTTATTTCCCTGCCTGACACTGACAATTTGCTTGCCACAAACGAAACAATGCCATCTTCTTTTTACTTTAAAATCGTTTTGGTTCCCCATCTCGCGTTCTATTTTATAGTCACGGGGTACTACTAAAGGGCTGCATAAGACAAAAATATTTTTCCAGCAACTGAAACAGCACAACTTTTCTCTCAGCTTTTCAACTTGCTCATCAGGCGACAAAAAAACGGAAGTTAATTTTGCCTAGATGAGATCGAACATTTCGTGACGAACTTTATAATATTTTATATACACTTAGAAATTGCGAATGTGGTAAAAAAACATTTCGCATTGGAATTATTATTGTGTGATAGGACACAAAAGTGCGCAAGTAAACAAACTGAAGTTTTTAGTGAGGCCAGGGTTTCCGTTGTTTGAACATGATATATTTATTCTGATCTTGCCCAGTTTTATTTATGGGGAATAAAAATCAAGCCTACCGACGATGGTGTTTGTTTTGTTAAACCTACCGCGCTCAGATTAATGTCCCCTATCTAAAAACATGCCCAAATACGCAGAATCTCTTTATGGCACGTTTTAGCACAGAGAAGTGACTGGACGTAAAAAGGACCAATTTTCTCCGGAAAATGTGCCCATTTGGTTAATAAACTGATTTTGAACGATACCCTGTTGGGAAGAAGCATTTACGCACGCGGTGCCCTGCGCTAACTGTTTTAATTTGGGGCTGACGGTTTCCCATTATAAGCCGGGACTTTTATTTTTGGTCTCCCTACTTCAAAAGACCGACGATATTTTGATTCACTGACATCGTCCACAAAATATTTTCAAGGAAACGTTGAGGACCTCTGGAGAACAATGAACCCTTTTGCGTACACAAATGCCACTGTGGTCGAATAATAATAATAATAATAATGGAGAAAACAGTATATCGTGATTTAGTAATAAGCCATGTCAAAATGCCGGCGATCTTTCAAGCATACGAAATCTACACTAACAATCATATGTTTTCTTTCTCTATTTCGAACGTATGCCTCCACATACTGAATATGGGGAAGTCAGTCGTCTCGTATATGGTCTGCCGGTCTACCAAACATATATTTTTTCATTAATTGAGCGTTCAGAGAAAACACATAGACATAGACAGCGGCAATTTGCTACGGGAAAGAAAAGATCTCTGAAATAGCTTTCTTCTATGCTCCTCCGTTATGACAAACATTGAAGTCTTACTCCCATACAACTTTCCTGGTACTTCAAGCCAACAAGGAATTTCGGCGATCTTAATTCGAATGCCTCCACGAGGTCAGGAATTTCAAACGTAACACTAGATGATGCGTGACCTCTGTGCAGTTGATATGGATGGCGACTGGACTGCAGCGATTTTGGAAACAGCCAAAACAGCCGGTTTATGCAGCACACTAAACATAATTGTATGCGAATATGTAGCATACCCGCTTTTTGTTCCTTTCAGGCGCTTATGGGCCGCATCCTCAACCGCATTCATCTGCTGCGTTAGATTCTTCTCCTGAACCGCAACTGCGGTTGACACACCCAAGGGGTTCTGGAACGTTCTGGCATTTTGCCTCACTTGCTTGTCCATTTTCTTATTATTTCTCTTGCGAGTAATCATCATCTCCTTTGGTTGGGCTGATGGACTCAAACGACGTCCAAATCTATTGGGATGTTCGTGTCAGAAATATTTTCAATTCGGCGGGTCCCCTTCACGCCCTAAAGAGTTCACTCCGTTTAGAAGCCGTGTATTTTTGACTTCAAGTTTGGCGTCAAATGGTATTTTTTACCTGCGTGTATATTCCTTCTTAATCCCGTCTTCCCTTTGAGGGATTTGTATCGTTTATCTATGACCATAATTTTTCAGCAAGGCCGAAACTTACACACTACATTGTCCAGAAAAGTATTCGTTGTTTAGCCCCTTACAGTACGTTTTTACCTTGACTCAGCGGTATAATCACAGATGCTGTTACTTTAATGACATGACTTGCAAACCCGTAAACTCAAACAAAAACCCTATTGAAATTCCAGTTGGTAAGTCTGTTGTGATGAAAGTCCTTAGGTGGTAACTTGCTTTTGGGATCCTGATGTACAAATTCCTCACTGAATTTCTAGTAAGGCGATGTTAGCTGTCTGGTTTTTCAAACAGTTAGAGACACTTGTCCATCATCGTAATCGAGCAGAGGCACCAACTTACTGGGATGGGGAAGTGTTTATCACTAGAGACTATCAGAAGATGAGGCTTGTCCTGGAAGTCGCCGTTTTTAGAGCTGAACATCCGTTCAGCAATCTCATCACGGCATGGAAGGTGCTTGTTTCTCCTCTCATGGACTTCCTCTTAAGAGCTTTTTTCTAATCTCATTGGCCCAAATACTGTCGAATAAATTATCCCGCTGCCATTATCGAAACACGCCATCGAAACAGGCGGCACACTTTTCCTACGATCTCGTAAGTAGTCATCTGGACACGAAGAGGCCTAAGCTGACTGATTATGCCGCAGTTGAAGGTCATTTGATTGAGCCAACCCGATTTTCTCAGCGTCTCCGCTGAAAACCCACCCTACTTTGAAAAATGAGCTCTTCCCTCGAGTTCTAACTAGGACTCATCTAGAAATTGAACGTTATGTAAGGAAAGTCGCTGGTTGATTTATACTCTCGAGTAAGGAGAAAGGCTCTTCCTTTTCTAAGATCCGTCCGATCAGCCAATCACAGCAGCAACAACAATAGCAAAAACACATAAAGAGTCAAATCAGCGTTTGATTCCCAAATCAAAGGGCAAGTGAAAATCTTGGCAAGTTGACGGAGTACAAAGAATCTCCCGGATGGAAATGATGCCAGCGCATCAGCACCTGTGCCGATTTAAACAAGAGGCAGGCACATTCATCAAACGATTTGAAACTTTAGGCTTGAAAGCGTGCTACAAGGAGGGTGTTGAAAATCTGCAAGGAAGTGGTCTGAAAATTGCACGCATCGGGACACAAATTAGAGGAAATCCAATAGTCGGTATCTAAACAAAACTCCTCCTGCGCCGCCTTCCTGCCCGCATTCCAAAACGGTGATCTTGCAGGGTAGGGGACGGCTGTTGACGGTTCAATCTGCACAGACATTTTGGGACCGGAGATGTAGAGGGAGGGACAGGAAGTCTCACTCGTCCGACGGATCAGCAACAATTTCCTCGTAGTCCTTCACGAGGGAAGTCAAATTAACCAGAGCCTCATTGAATTCGTTCTCTTCCATGCCCTCGCCCACATACCAATGCACAAAGGCGCGTTTGGAGTAGAGAATGAAGTATTTATGAACCATTCTCTGCCAGGCCTGCGAGACTGCGGTGTTGTTGGCCAACATCACAACGTTTCTGCACGTTTGGGCCAAACCACTTTCCATCCGACTGGTTGGTGGCTCCAAGGTGATGCCGACCTTGAAGCCGGTGGGACACCAGTCGACGAATTCAATCCCTTTCATGTCCTTTACCACACTGACAGAATTGTAGACATGATTGGGTGAGACTGCACCCCGATAAAGCAGAGTACAGGCCATAAACACGCCTGACGTTGGATCCACCTTTACTAACTGGTTCTCCTTCTCGAAGACCCGGCGAGTGATCTCCAGAGTAGATATGGTATCATGTTCCGCCCTCTCTGGCGACTCGAGTGGAGAGAAGTTGGCGAGAGGGAAATGAATGCGAGGATAGGGCACGATATTGGTGCAGATTGTGGTCAGGTCACCACAGAGGACCGTCCTGAATCTCTGAGCTGCGGTTAGGGAGCTCAACACAATGGATGCCATCCTATTAATGCGATTGTAGGGCACAATGTTCACTGCCATATAACGGTCGCAAAGGTCGTACATGGCTTCATTGTCCAGCAAGAGAGAAAAGTCAATATCTTCCATGGAGAAGTGCTCACCCAGAATGCTGTTGTAGGGCTCCACCGCAGCCGTTGACAATGCAGCAGAGGGGTAGACAGGTATTTCAATTTTCGGAATTTTTCGATAGTCATTCATCATATCAAGGATGGAGGCGGTCATTCCAGCCCCAGTGCCACCGCTTAGACTTCGAAATAACATCACTCCCTGGGGCATGTCGCAGTTCTCCATGGATCTTCGGAGCTCATTCATTACCCGTCCCAGCATCATCTTACCCGTGGTGAAGTAGCCGCGCGCAAAATTGTTGGCGGCATCCTCACAACCCGAAATCATCTTGTCTGGATGGAAGAGCTTGCGCCAACGACCGACACGTACTTCATCTACAGTAAATGGGGATCAACATAAGGAATATTAAGCTTATTGTGGAATTAAAATTAAAGGTCTCGACAAGGAACTATCGGATTCTGAAATGGATTCGAAAGTTCCTTTGCTTAGGAAGCGAGTGCACGACGTCTTTTCAGCAATTCGGTAGCATCGAAGCAGCGAGTATTTAATCGAACATGGAAAGTATTGCACGATGTGTTAGCAGAGAATGTTTAAATAATTGAACTGACCTTTTTCTGTGTAAATACTCCGTCTACTAACCCTAGACAAAGATATGAAGTTGACTTATAAAGCAACCCGACTCAGTGGCATAGGGGAGGGGGATAAGTCTGTGTCTGTTTAGTACTCTGACAAGAGCTACTTGTGATTTTAAATTTTATGAACCTGTGATAGTGTCGACTGAAAGCCTGCCGCCATGCCTTCAACGGTCAAAGTAAGCAAAGTCTGCGTACCATTCAAGCCCGTGAAGAACCGTCAGACCGGCTTTGGTAAGAGAGACGAACTCCAAGAAACTGTCCCTATATGTGGCCAAAGTGTGTAAGGTCATTTTCGATGCAGGTTCTACCTTTCTCAAAATCAACTTTATTGTACAGATCAGAACGAAGGCACTATGAATGGGCTTTAGCAGACATACAGTACGTGGGCTAACTCATAAAATGTCAGCTGAAATTACGAAATTTGTTTTAGGTTCGAAAAGATTATTTAAATGGGGTTGTAAAACTAATCAGCCTGCAGTAAAATAATTCAGTTACCTCAGGATGCCGACTGCTGAACGAACTTCCTCCTGGCTTCATGTAAAAACTATGCTCTGTAAAAAACGACTACATAAGTAGCATGTATTTTTGACTTTGATTTTCGATGTTCCAAAAAGTCCCATTATATTTCTTGGACAACACGAATAAAAAGACAAATTATTTCACTTATTCGGTAGAAATTTACGTCTTCTTTCAATGTTATGCTTGAGGGATGAACATAATTCAGTTTTTAAAAAGTTCCTAATTGTAGGACTTTTAACTACCGTGAGATAACCGTTCATAAAACGTCATGGCTCTGTAGTTACCAATGTGGCTTGTAAAGTTAACAATATTACTAAAATCCAATGTTAAATTTAATGAATTCCCTATGGTCTCACCTCAATATAGCAGAGAAATGTGTTGTTTTCCGCACGCAGAAAATAAACGGCTTTTAGTTTGGAAACCCGCAATGCAAGTGTGGCGGCTGAGCGGGTTCAAAATTTTTCGGGAATTGGAAAAGTTTTTGAAAACCGAATTATAGCTTTCCTTCGGGTGCAAAATTGGAAGGAGGCTTTAATTTCTACCGAATGAGCGAAAGAATGAATATTTTCATGCATGTTTTCCATGAAATATAATTCGACATTAAGGGCGTCGAAAATCAAAGAAAAAAATTCACGCTGCTTAAGTAGTCATTTTTACAGAGTGTGCTCTTTGTATGCAGTGGAGCAGGAGTTCTTTCAGAAGCCGGAATCTTGAGGTAACTGAATTATTAGAGAATTATGCTGCGTGATGGGTATTTTTACAACATTACTTAATTAGTCGTTTCGAAAGGAAAACACATTTCGGAATATCGGCTGACATTTCATGAGTAAGTCCATCTACTGCATTTAATTTTAGTCACGGAAACGAACTACAGCCTCCATTTTGTGCTGCAACTGTAGCTAGTATTATTAACGGTAGACATATTTGTTCTTTTCCAACGACACTTAATGATGCTCTGACATTCATTGGCCTTATTGCTAGTTGCACTTTTCCAGTCAGTATGTCTGTACTACCAAAGAAACCGAGTAGTCTGAGTGGTTTTCTCAGCCCACCATAAATTTAGAAAAAAACTGTCATTCGTTCTTATTTGATTTAACCAGAACCGCCTGACAGTAGGCTGCATATTATTTAGCATTTTCCAAAAGTTTGTAAGCGTCCGCTACACCAGTATCAGCAAACCATGGCCGACGTAGCCTAGCATGCGCTAGTATTTCCCTGACAGTAGATGTGATCGCGCTCCCGCTGAGCATACAGGTGGTGGGCGTGGCTGTCCAGTCATCATCCTCGTCTTTCTGACCCCTGTTGGGGCCTTGTTGTTGAGGCAAACTCCTGGTCATTTGTTGGGTGGATCAGGGGGTGTGAAGGCACACCTAGGGGCGGCTGCGGCCGTGCCAGCCACCTGCGCCCTCCCCCACTTCCGGTCCTCTTGACCGGGTCTTGACACCGGGTCCAGGTGGGGAGTGCGGAGGAGGGAAGGCGGTAGAGGCTCCGCATAAACTGATTAACGCACACGTCACCGTGCCTGCTGCATCTCGCTGTGTAGCGCACGGTGGACATCGTCGAAATCCACGGTCGAACTGACATGTAGCACTTTTACTAGCCCCAATATGAGAATACCTAAGTATTATTCGAGTTGGCACTCGGAGTTGCCAGTTTTCGACCCATCTAGTGAGATCACCCTGTGTTCGTGGAGCACAAGTTTTGACGAATTTACTGGTTACTCGCTGAGGCATATCCAGCCAGCTTGTTTGCCATACGTTCTTGGTTGCCTACGGCGAGCCATGCGGCAAATGCAGTGGACCAACACGGGGCTAGATCAGGCTCCGGCGCATGGCATACATGGGGGGCGGGGGGGGGGGAGGAAGCGTGGGGTACACCTACGGTCAAGGCCCATGCCGCACCAGTCACCTGCATCCGATCTCACCTACGGCTTGCTTGACTCTGTTTTAACACAGCGCCCAGGTGGTTGAGGGAGGAGAGAGTGCGGCAGATGTAGCGCAAGTCTACTATCACTTAGAACCTACTCACGCGCAAGTCACCGTCTTTGTGCCAACCGTGCTGTGTGGGCACACGACAGTTCGACCGTCGATTTCGACGATGTCCACCGTGTGCCCCACAGACTGCATTGTGGGAGCAGGGACGGTGACTTACGCAGGGGTTTATAGTGCCAGTAGACTTGCGTAGCATCTACCTACACTCTCTCCTCCTTCCCTGCCTGGGCCCGGTGTCAAGACAGAGTCAAGAAGACCGGAGACGGGGGAGGTCGCAGGTGGATGGCTCGGACGGATCCTCGCTTAGCGCTCCACTCCGCACCCCCTGGTCCACACACAATGACCTGGATTGTGACCACAAAACAAGGGGGTGGCGGCAGTGGTCCAGTTGTGCGACGAATGCCGACAACAGGGTCCGCCAGCGCACCCCGGAAGTGTTGGCATTTGTTATTGCGCACAGATAACGCCTGCCAGAATCCAATGTGGCCCCCGTGTTGGTCCAGCGCATCTACCACGTGGCCCGTTTGGAGGGCACAACACACACACAGTGAATATCGTCAGAATTGACATTCGAACTGCCGTAGTCACTCTCAAGTACACTGAGACACAATACGGCTATCATTTCCTGTCCTGGTTCTGCTAAGACCATACCCAAACAACTGTTCATGCAACGCCTGGCTCACAGTAAGAAAAAGTCGGTTAACTTGCCAATAACCGTGGCTTCCAAGTCGATGTAGATGGAGCGTGGAACGTACTGGCCACTGCCGGTGAAACTAAAGAAGACATCCACGTTCTCGCCTTCTCGTGGAGGCTCGAAAGCCAGACCCTCACAGGTGATAGCGTGTTCTGCGCAGTACAATTCCCAGGCGGCGTTTCCCAACTGGCAGCCGCACTGACCAATGTGGAGGGAAACGATTTCTCGCTAAGGGAGATAAACACAAAATCAGCAGACAAAATGGTTTCCCACTCAAACAGTCGGATAAGAGAGGTAGGAAACAGACTTCCATGTCGGGGTGCTGAGCTAAAGAATTCTGCTTCAAGTCTTTACCTAGCCGTCCAAAATGAGGCCACTTTCATCTATCCCAATGAGAGTATTGATTTGGGCGTGAAGGTCGCGCGGGAGGCTTGTGTCCGCCGTCGTCTTAATTCACAAGCAACTCCCTTGACGACTCACATAGACGGCTACGGTTCGTCTGCTGCAAGCGACGGGGCCGCTGGTGATCCGAGGACCAAGTCGAGAGCCGCACATGAACTGCTTTTAAACAAATTAGATTTGCATAGTACCTAACCAACCCTCCCCTCTCCTAACCAGCGTATTGTGTTTATAATACAAAGAAGACTCTGGAGTCATGAATTCACGTTTTACGATATTTATTCGGTCTTTCTACAATATTAGGCCCACAAAGACTAGCAACGCTGTTTTAAAAACAGACTACTATGAATAAAGGGTCATGATTGCTGGGACAAGAGCTTCATACGCTTGACGTCTCGGATTCCGGCTCGAACCCATCATCAGAGACACTAGTAGATACAGGTGGTTCATGCACAAGGGGCTTCTCTGTATTTTTTTCAGATCACTGCATTCCTTTGCGATTGAATAGACAAAAAGCCTTATGAAGTTCTCGAAGTGCTACTATTCTTCTCCTAGTTGTTGCATCTGAGGAACAAGTTGATGGGTCAGATACGCTAGCTGTCTCACGCCCCCCCTCCCTGTAGATAACGTTTCTCTATTCTACTGGTCATGGTCACATCAGTCCTTTGAAGGCAACAGGTTTCTTTAGCTCGAAACCAGCATCATTCTGGCACATCCGGGTGGGCTAACCGACCAAATGCGCACTCACGACAGGAATTCACGACAATATTGATGCTCAAAGCACATCCGAAAATTCCCCCATGTTCAACTCTATCAATTTCCCCGTCACAAGCGCTCCAATGGCTCCTTCTTAATGCGGCATTCATGGCACTCGCACTCAGTTGGGATCCGAGCTGCCCACCCCTTCTCGTTGTGTGAGACCTTAGTCCGTTCTGCATAGACCATGTAGCATGGTGGGACGCTTTGATGAGGGGTCACGCGGCGATAGTCGCCTGCCCCCCCCGATCCCTCTGCGGTGGGCGCAGTGCATGTCCACCACCATCATTCTAAACTAGCTTGCGCAGTCTCCGCCCTTGCTGCCATCCTGGACACGGTGAACATCGTCGGCAACGACGATAGAACTGTATTTCTGTCCCCTAGTATTGTTGCGTCACCTTTGCAGTTTCCTTCTTTCATTCTCTAATTTAAACTCATTGTGTTTTGGGACTTTTGCAGTATGGACATTTTTGCGGCCAAATCTACAATTCCAATGGCCGGACTAGTTGGCGGCATTCGGTGCTATACTTCGACCCTATATCGACTGCGTTTCGCCCCTCATTAATATACAGTAGGTGGGCTAACTCATGAAATGTCAACTAAAATTCCGAAATGCGTTTTCCTTTTGAAAAAATTAATTAAGTAGGGTTGTAAGACTAGTCAGCCTGCAACATAATTCTATAATAAATCAGTTACATCAGGATGCCAGCTTTCGAATGAACTTCCTTCGGTCTGCCCGCGAAAACTATTCTCTGGAAGAAATAGCTACTTAATTGGCATGCATTTTCTCATTGACTTTCGATGTCTCTAAATGTCTTATTATATCTCCTGGAAAACATGCATAAAAATATTTATTCTTCCGCTCATTCCGTAGACAATTACGCCTTCTTTCTATTTTATGCTCGAAGAAAAGGTATTGTTCGCTTTCTAAGAACTTTCCCAATTCCCGAATCATTTCAAACCCGCTCTGACGTCACACTTGCATTCGGGGTTTCCAAACTACAAGCCATGTAATTTCTGCTTACGGAAAACCACTCATTGCCCTACGGTGTTTACAGGAGACCATAAGGGGTTTAAAAAATTTGGCATTGGCTTTGATCTATATTGTTAACTTTACTAGCCACATTGGTAAATGCAGAGACATGACGATTTGTGAACAGCCATTTCACGGTATTAAAGTCTCACAGTTCGAAACTTTTTTAGACCGAATAAGTGTCTACCGAAAGAGCAGAAGAATAAATATTTTTTATGCCTGTTTCCCATGAAATATAATTAGACTTTTAGAGACATCGAAAATCAAAGAGAAAAATTCATGCTACTTAGGTAGTCATTTTTTACAGAGTGTAGCTTTCTAATGCAGTCGGAAGGAAGCTCTTTCAAAAGCCGGCCTCCTGAGGTAACTGACATATTAGGGAATTATGTTGCAGGCTGACTAGTTTTACAACCATACTTAATTAATCTTTTCGAAGCGAAAACGCATTTCGGGATTTTAGTTGACATGCCATGAGTGAGCCCATGTACTGGAATGTAGTCCAACAACTATTAGGCGTGATGGAGAACAGTGTCGTGCATTTGTGGTCTTAATTTAGCTGTTAGTCATTGGGCGCTTACCACTGCTTCATTTGAACTCTGCCCATGGGTCCCATGTCCCTGGGCCAACACAGGGGTTAGACTGGAGTCCGACTGGAGTTACCGGGATTGCGCACTCATAACAAAAGCCAGCGCTGGGGGGCAGGTCTAGTTGTAGGCGCACGCCGCGCCGGCTGGCATTCGAGTCACCTCTTCTATATTTTTTCTTGTTGCGTAAGATCCTGGCCAGTGTATTTTGTGGAACAGGGGTGTGGTGGTACGCCTAGGTGCGGGTTTTCGTCACGCCAGCCACCTGCGCCCTCTCCCACCTCCGGTCTCCTTGGCTCTCTCATGAAATCGGGCCCAGGTGGCGAGGGGGAGAGAGTGCGGTAAATACGGCGTTACCTTACTATCACTTTAAGCTGGTTCACGCTCAAGCCATCATACGTGCTCTCATCCTGCTGTGGAACACACGGTGGACGTTGCCGGTCACGACGATCAAACTGTCATTGTCAGATGGACTTGCGCATCGTGGTCATCGGGGCTGAGTTTATACTTACGTACCTTACGCTTGTTCTGGCCTCTGTCTATACACGAACCAGACTGCGAGCAGGAGTCTCGAACCTCATGGTTAGGAGTTGTCATAAAGGCCAAATCAAGAGGGATGCGATTGGTGCGCTGGACAAACACAGGAGTTAGATCGAAATCCAGCAGGCGCTATCGGGAATGCGCAAACGTCAAGCCTGGGGGGTGCGGTGGCAGACACAGTTGCAGGCGCACGCCGTGCCCACTGACATTCGAGCCCCCTCTCCCCGCCCTTGTTCTTGTGTCATAAAATCCTGGTTGGTGTCCGTTGTGGACCAGTGGGTGAGGTGGTACGCCTAGGTGCAGGTTCTTTGATGTGCCAGCCACCTGCGTCCCCTCACGCCTGCGGTCTTCTTGACTCCGTCTTGACAACGGACCCAGGTGTGTGAGAAGGAGGGGAGGGTGCGGTAGATGATGCGCAAGTCTGTTAACACTATAAACTAATTCATACGCCCGCTCCCACTCTGTTGTGGAGCATATGCTGTACATCATCGGCAACTACGATCGAACTGTCGGATCTCGCTTTCTGGATTTTGATATACATTTTGCTATTTTAGGTTGTGCCTAACGAAATGGGGGATATAAAGTTCGCAGGCAGTCATGTTCGTCATTATACGCTACACGAACACTCGAACTAAGCTCTCACCGTTAAACATGCAGCGCTAGTGAACGGAGACTGGGTCATTCTGCAGCATGACAGCGCAAGGCCGTATTCTGTCCGACAGATCCAGCACAAGGTCCGAGATGAAGGATGGAATGCTATGCACCATCCACCCTATTCATCTGATTATGCGCCAACTGATAATTTATTCAAATCCCTGCGGCACCCCCAGGGTGGAAAAACTTTTCGGAAAATTGGTGATATTAAAACGGGGCTCTTGACAGTCTTTGCTTTAAAGCAAACTATCTTTTGTGTAGAGGGCATTGGAAACATAGGTTTAAGCTGAACAACGATGACTGCAAGTAATGACGACTTTGCAACTGATTAAAAAATGAAACGTTTTTGCAAACGCTTTTCTTTTCCATTATTAAAAAGCAACACTGTTTTCCAGTATCTATAATATTATATAAAAGCTGGCAAATACCGCCTTCTTGCTGTTTAAAGACGTTGGATGTTATCTGTGTTAAGGCGAATGTGTTCCACGGAGGTCCGTGGAAAAAAATCTTTTAGTATTTCAGTTGCTGACTCCCAAGTTGCCTGGAGGGAAGGGCCCTGTGAAACGCTGTTTTCATGCTTTGGACACTTTCCCCGCTCTGTCACAGCAAGAGGACTCCGTAGGGCCAGAACTTCAAGTCGGTGCCTGCTGTCCTTGTAGGCTGTTTGACACTGACCACTGCAACATGTTTCTAAGAACACCATCAACCTCATCACGACTCCACGACAGAAACGACTCCAGCATCGTTTTTACTTCCTTTTGATCAATCATTCCAGGGAAGGGTTTTTCCAGTCGCTCCGCTCCCTCCACACACGACTTTTACTCTCCGAGGGTAAATGTGCCAAGAGCAGTAATGCTTATATCACAACTGGAAAATTCGTATGCACTGGCGACTGTCGCTGTGTCTGAACACGCTCTAACCTTCCAGAATAAGCCACGTTGCTTTAGTGGATGAGAACTGAAGGCTGAAGCCGCTGAACTACTGCCAAAATGATTTTGGAAGCGTTCACACCCTGGGCGCAGGTCAGAACGTTTTTTATGTGACTAGTGTTTAGGCCAATTTTATCGTCCACTTCTTCATTGGCAGGGGTAAGCAGTGAAAGTCTTTTCGGCAAGATGTGGTTATGTAGATCTACCTGATGGACATAATACTGTCGGAGTTGGGGTTACGGGTCAGGGGTTAGGGCAAATACTTTTCACCCACTCGAAGTACAACCGCGCATTCCCAATAGCTTTCATTTTGCCTACAAATACTTGACCTCGTCGCCTGTGCGTTTCCCGGCCCCACCTGTAAAACCCCCTATTACCAACGGGGCCGTACAACAGGTGGATGGGGTTTGTTTACTTCAGATGCGGCTACCTAACCCCTTATAACCGTGTTTTCTTAGAGGACTGCTGAAGTTTACCTCTGCACGCTAACGCAGAGTAGTTGCAGTTAGGCCTAGCTGTCTGTCTACAGGCCTGCCAGTACTAATTCCACGAACTCTACACGTGGGACTTTGCGATACAATCATAAGGACGGGTAACTATTGGCTGGTTTGCTAGAAGTTGGTGAGTTGACTATTGTCGGCAGTTTTCACGCAACATCGGATTGAGCTGCCGCGGTTCACCTTTCTTCACTCTGCCTCTTCTTAAACGCTCCATTACAACAAGGGCAGTGTCCAAACGACTGCAAATGAGATCCGGCGTATTGGTTACCTGTGTCATTCACCTCCGTGAACTGCGTTTGCCACAGTGCGGTCCTGGTTCCTCTTCCCAGGCACAGAGTGTCCGGTGCACTTGTACGGCCAGATTTTGCGCACAATTTTTCTCGGGGTACTTAAGACAAACCAGTTACCTAAACAAACCTAAGGGTGCGAACGAGGCAGGGCTTAATGACAGCCTGGTCGGTCGGCGCCGAGACGTTCAGCCCGCAATTTACGCGTCGGAAACTGCCTGCACCGACCCCCCAAGGCTCAAGGACGGCCGTCACCTGCGGAGGGGGAATACAGCACATGATTAGCCTCGAATCGCTCTGTTGTGTACTAATTTATCCTCCTAACACCTCATTTTCATCGCACTCCATCACATGACGGTCAGCTGATTAGTGAGCGTGCTACAATCACATCACAAGAGACTGTGCGATACGAAGAAGAAGAAGAAGAAGAAGAAGAAGAAGAAGAAGGAGGATACTCGATCGTTGTAACTAGACGCTTACTAACTCGACGTTCCGAAATCGTATTCTATCAAATTATCAGAGTACAACGGACGCAAAAATGATGCGATTACTATGCCAACCCATGCCTAATAAAAAGCTGCTGCTTCGCATTTAACGCGGATGATCGTATTTGCTGTGGTGACGGCTTCAGTGCTAGCAGTAGAGCTTCTAATGCCCGCGATGTAATCACCGGTGTTGGTGATTGACTTGATACTGGCTCGTCAGTCTGTTAAGTCACAAGCTCCTTGTGTGCTCCGCCCAGACTTGCTCCCGGCAATAAATATGGAGGGAGCAGGCATTGTGTCTGTTGATAGACCGTGTGCCGGAGAACCGTAAATCAAGCAATTCGCGGCCTACACGGTCATCACCTCGCACGAGAATCACGACCTAATGAGATTACTGAGAAAGACAAGGAAGAGGGGGACGGACATTTCCGGCTAATTAGTCGTCGTCAGTCAGGGGCACCTGAGGATTGACTCCTTACTCCTCTGTACTTGTACTTGATACGGCTGCTATCATGCCTGATCTAGCCGGCCTCGATGATGTCCCGAACTGTACACCTCTCCACGCGTGACGATCCGCGGCAGCAGATCTGGACTGCCCAAACCATTTCCTTCGCCAACGACGTAGACCGAATAGCGAAGGTCCAAGAACCAGCTCCATGTCTTGACGAACTGTGTCGAGCCAGGTTTTGTACTGACCCCCTCTTCGACGCCTCCAATGGGGCAACGGTGCCGGATCGAGGGCAGTAACACTGAGCTCCTGAGGTGGACGACGAAGAACATGCCCGAACCACCTCAGTCGTCTTTCTTGGATGGCCTGAGTTATCCTTGCGATGTTGTCGCAGCGAGCGCGGACTGTCTCATTTGAGACGAAGTCGGTTAACTTAACTCGAAGGATGGTCCTCAAGCAGTGGTGATCAAATACCTCCAGTTTTCGCTCATCCGCCACGCGCAAAGCCCAGCATTCGCAACCGTAGAGAAGGACAGACCGGAAGGATGCAAGGTACACGCGAATCTTAGTGACGACGGAGAGGTCACGTCGGATCCATAGGCATTTCCGAAGGCTTGGAAAAACACAGCGGGCAGCATCGATTTGGGAGACAATATCTTCCTTACTCTGACCATTCAGCATCAGCCTCGCACTGAAGTACTTAAAACTGCCTACTTCTCTAAGTTGACAGCCATCTATCCCGAGGGGTGCCTTCTCCTGGTCAGGGACTCAGCCTGAAGTCACTTTAGCCTTCCCAGCGTTTATGGATAGACCGACCGATTGAGCGACCTCGTTCACCCGGGACACCGTATACTACAGCTCACCAAAACGTGAAGCAAGTAAGGCGATATCATCGGCATAGTCGAGATCAGTCAGTCGATGTCCGGGTGCAAACTCAACGCCGTCACTCTCGCGTAGAGCCCTCCCGAGGATCCAGTCAAAAGCGTAGTTAAACAGCATGGGTGATAGGATACAACCCTGTCGGACGCCAGACCGAATACTGAACGGTTGGGAAAGAATGTTGCGGACCAGGACTCTCGCAGTAGTGGAGAGTAGTAGGCCTTGATTATGACGATGATTTCTGCCGGTACACCATCTCGCGCCATTATCCGCCACAGGGACTCACGGTGGACGGAATCGAACGCTGCGGCTTAGAAAGTCCAAAGATCACCATGCAGCCACGGGCTCGTTGTCCCATCGTTTGCGATCCTTAAGGGGTTAATATTTTTGAGGTTTACCAACTGCCCCACTAGTTGGAACTTTTCCGCATCTGCAAAGCCACCGACTCGGACATGCAAAGTACCTTCACGGCGGTAACAATGAAAATACGATGTAGACGAAACATCAGAAGTGGACAGGGCGTCTTTGCGGAGGCTTCGAATAGCTACTTCAATAATTCGTTTGCTGTGATTGAAGAGTCTGTACTCTCCGGTTTAATGGGGGCGCCTTAAGTGCCAGAAAACATCAAGTCAAGTCCCCAGTAACAGGGTAAGACCGAAGGCACCAGAATGACGGCCCTATCTTGCACAAAATCCTGACGTACGCTGTCAAGTAGCCGTGGCCGCTAGCAAGGACAGTACGTGTGTCGCCCGACAGCGCTACTTTATGCCCCAGGGAGTGCGCGCATCTCATCAACAGTTGGGTAAGAGACTCAGACGGTTCGCTAGTGCATGAGGTGAGTCAGGGAGAGACTGCGGCTGACATGGAGATTCCATAGCCATGGCAAATCAACGTATTCCACATCAGAGTAAATCTCTTGTGCTCAAATCTATCATGACAGGTTAGGAGTCGCACCTTGGAATGCTGCCAACTGACAGGATAGCGTAGCTTTCGTGTGGAGTATTTTGACATGAATAGAGGACTGAGAGTCAGGGCGCAGTGGCTCTACCTTATGTAGCTTCCATGTTATTCCCTCATACGGGATCCGAGCAGTCTATTTCGTAGCCTGATACATGCAGTCAGAAGCAGATAATGTGTACCACGCGTAAACGGTTTGTTTAGTTTTGTCGGGCATTGTGTCCGTTGGGACCTCTGGGCATTCTGATATTGCCCAGCCAACGGAATGAAGCGAATGATGAAGAAGAGAACGTGTTAGATGCAACACACTTCCGCCTCACCACCAAGTAATCCATGCTCAAGTTTACAATTTTGCATACACTCTGTGAGACACACGGTAGTTGTCGTTGCTTTCGACGGCCGGACGATCGTATCTGCATGTTCTACCGCCTCTGTGGGTTGGTCGAATCGAGCTCAGGTGGCCTATGTTCTAGTCCATTGCACTATAGCTTCTGAAATATGACCAGCTGTGATTGAATGCGTGCGTTTTTTTCGTCTGTTGCAGTCCGCCTGGCTGTACATTTAGCCTGACTGAAGTGACGATCAAGACGCAAGACTACCAAACTTCAAGCGAAGGCTATGACCTGCTGGAAGGGGGATGACAGGGGTTCGTATCGAATCTCTTACCAATGTTGACGGTTCGCACGGTCGCGGGATCTTCCAATCCCAACAGATGGACAGCTGAATTAGCTATTTGAAAGGCCAGAAAATAGACACATGTCATCTGACAAAGGCTCTCCTTTTTGACATTGTTTTCATTGAAATGATGGCAACTGTCCTTCTCCTTGGGCAAAGAATGCTAAGGGGTAGTGCCAAGAGCGTGCGGTGAATGGATGTATTAGTTGCAGCAGCTGCCGGTGTTGACATGGACTTCGTGTATGCCACCCCTACGCTGGAATCTCGTCCTGGGGGCGGCCATCTAGCGCAACTGATGATGCGGGCTGTTTCCCCACATGCCCTTCGGGTTATCAAGCGTCCACTGCCAGAACTAGAAGGGTTTTTTGACTTCTCCCTCTACTCCCAGGGGGTGCATGGCGGTGGCGACTGCGAAGAGCTAATGTATTCCCACCAGAAAATGTATGACTGCCTGTCATCACATGTGGCCATGGAAAGACGTGCACGCCGTGGGAGGCAGGGGGAGCAGAGATAAAATCTTAACAGTGCTTTCGAATCGAAAAAAGCATATTTCAGTGAACCTGCATATAGTTTCATCGCCACCCTAGGGGAGAAATTATCCAGTTGAAAATGTCACTACAGATAAGTGCAAGTTAACTGCTTGACTAGACTGTGTCTTTTTCCATGGATTTCAGGTGCTGACGCAAATTCATTTAGAACGCGTAGGAATGATGCCAAAAAAATTAATTATTATGCCTATTTTAGAAGAAAAGTCAACTAGATATGAATTTTAGTAACTGCAGGACAGAAGCGACAAGCTATTTAAAGAGTCGCGCGGACAAGAGTTAGGCGTACGCTTGCGTGCGCATATACGTAGTTTAGTGGCGTCGCTTTTATCAAGCATGATATGTGGCTCATATACATTTCTGCACTTCCCAAACAAGAGGCGTAGGCTGATAAAAAAAATAAGGAGGGATGTAACGCACTGAAGCAACCCGGTGATATCAACGTAGGTGGCTACAGAAAGTACACACATTCATACATTCTTAATTTTCCAAGACTAAGGAGACAGACATATGTACATCAAACCATACTATTCAGCATCCTTTCCTGCAAGTGCAATGACAGTTTAAAGCAATTTCCTAGAACATACGAGAAGAAGGATATTGCCAAAATAAACGTTTTTGGTTATGTAGTCTCATCTGAAGTAAACAAAGGCCAGTCAACTGTAATACGACACCTGTGCTAATTGGGGGTTTTAACAGGTGGGACCGGGGAGCGCGCCGGCGACGAGGTCAGGTATGCAAAGTTAAAGCTATTAGGAATGCGCGGCTGTACTTTGAGTGGTTGAGTAATAGTTTCCCCAACCCAAAACCCCTGAACATAGCCCCTAGCCCACATCCCTAACCCTTACCCTAACCCCAACAGTACTGTGTTCATCAGTTGGGGCTACATAACCACATCTTACCAAAGTTTCTCTGGATAAAGTAATCGTAGTTGGCTATCGAGCTTTCTGGCGGAGGTGCCGTTTGCTACCGTGCTGGAGTTAATGCTCATTTTATGTAAAATGCTAACCGCATCTGAGCCACGCCTCGTAGCAGATGGGGAGCAGACAGTGGGTAATAATGATTGTTTCGAAAACTGTTCTCCATCGTGGTGCGGGAACATCAAATGTGAGACTCTAGGTCCTCTGCACACCCGACTGCGCTAGACTAACAAATGCACGCAATCCGCTGCTGAAATATACCTATTCTCGAGTGATCCACTCGCTGTCAGTTTTTAGTGCAATTGATGCATGGAAAACCGCCCTTCCTTGACAAAATCCATTTTGATTTTATGGTTCCATAGTCCTCTCTGTTTATACGTTTCTAGAAAAAGCGTAAGACCACATTTACAGGAGTTTTCAGAGTACCAACCCGCCATATCATGTCGTATTTTTGAAGTTGGCTCTATAAGGTAAGTTTGGTCGAGAAGGTAACCCAAATCTTGTATAGAGCTAGACCATATCGAGACCTTTTGAGTATTTGATAAATGTTGATCTGCCTACAGAGTTAATACAAGAGGCCACAACAAATTCACTGAGCATGACCTTGAAGCAAAGGGGGGAATCGAAGTATAATCTTCCCTTCCTGGCGCCTTTCGGCTTAGTATCGCGCAGTAAGTCCAGCCAAATATTTAATTTAATCAGAATCGGCATAAACACTCCCATTTCACAGGCTTACCATGATGCTGGCACGTCCTTCAGCCGCCTTTGTTCAAGGACGAAGGACAAGCTGAGAAATCAATAAAATGCTGGATCGATTTTTGTCTAGCGCGTCTGGATGGCGCAAACCAGCATGAAGGTCTCCTGGCTGGTAATTGTTCTGATGTGGAATCGTATGCTGCAGATAAGCAGAAAAACGATATTCACAAACTATCAACGACATCGTCTGAAATAGACGTCCTGTCGCCAACTACTTTCTGATGGGTTCATTGTTTTGGCTATCACCAACATCAGCAATAGGGCAGTGAAGATCAAGGATTCTCCCCGCCTAGTGATGAAGGATCACCAGAGATAAATTTAAAGAATGCGGATGCGAACCGGAAGATACTACTTCAGGTATGAAATATCTAACTAAAAGTCACCTTGAAGCAAAGCTGTCTCATCGCCCCAAGTGATGACGTCCACCGTGTACCACACGGACTGAGTGGTTCAGTTTATAGGGAGGCGAACCATCGCGGCATCTACCGCATTCTCTCCTCCCTCACTTGGCTCTGATGGCAAAAATATGTCAAGACAATCGGAGGAAGGTACGTGCGCGGAGGCCAGCAAACTCACAGAACTCGACTACACGCGTCAGGGTACTGCGAAAAGACCGTCCAGTTCCCTCATGAGTGAGAATTCCATAGTGGTGGAATATGAAGGAGGAGTCATTCCAGCCTGAATCCTATTCCACCAAGCGCTCCAAAATACTCACACGAGGACCGAATTTCCTGTCCGTTGGTAACTTTCCAAGCGTGGTGATTGAGTAAGGTGCGTCAGATTTATAATGGCGAGGAATGCGATGATGTGCAATGAGGATGAATTCCCCGGTGTCGGCCTCACTCTCTCCTCCCTTCCTCATGTTCCAGTCAATTGTCCGTGCCTTTTGATGTACTGGTTATGGGAATGGGTGCAGTGGCAGACACGACTTAAAGACCCGCTTCCAAGA